TGGCCGCCAAGGCGAGGGGCTCATTGCCTGTGCTCACCCACTTCCCTCATGGGGTTTGGGCCGAGAGCCCTCAGAAGAACCCCAGGACCGGGACCAGGACCCAGCCTTCCTGTGGGTCCGGGAAGTCCTACTCCACCACCCGCAGGGGGCGCACTGGGCCGGCACAGCGTGCCCATCTCGTCTCACTGCGCCCTGGGCCGAAGGCCTGGCGGCCCTCAGCTGTGCCTGCACCTTCAGACCCTCTCGGGGAGCTCAAACTCCCGTCCCTGCCTGCTCTTGGCTGCCAGGAGCAATTGTGAAGGCCGTGACACTCATGGGAGCACCGACGTTTTCTCGGAGACAGGTGAGCTATCGGAGCTCGGCAGGGGACTCGGCAGGACACAGAGCCGCTTGCTCGCCCAGGCCCAGGCCGGCTGCGCGGGGAGGACACATGAGAGCCTCCTGTCAGTGCGGTGGCGAGTGAGTCACCCTCAGCACGCGGGTCCCCGGGAGCCCCTCTGAGCATGCGGCGTGACAACAAATGGTGAGCATCTCGATCTTAAAAGTCGATTACGGTAAAAGACACATTGCCATGGCTCCCCCAAAATCCTTCCCCTCGCTTCAAACTCTCTCATCCCTTTGGCCTTCAGCAGCTGCTCTGGAGTCTTCTTTCCTGAATGTCTTTACCTGTGTTGTCCTGGCTGCCTCGATGTCCTGAATGGATTCAAAACGCTTCCCTTTCATGGTCATTTTGACTTCGGGGAAGAGCCAGGAGTCACACGGTGACAGATTCTGTGAATAAGGTGGACGAGGACACAGCGTCATGATTTTACAGTCTGCCTTTTTGCTGGGTGACGCTTGGCAGCAGCAGTCACTGCGTTTTTGTGTGTGTGTTTTTTGTTTTTTTTTTTGGTACTGGGGATCGAACTCGGGTCCTTGTGCTTGCGAGGCAGGCAGCGGAACCACTGAGCTAAATCCCCGGCCCAAGTCACTGCGTTTTTGATCACACCTGGTGAAGACACTGAGGAAAGAGGACCCCAGAGCTGCTGCAGGAAGTGGCCAGGACCAAGTCTGAGGAGCCCGTCTCTGAGTCCCACATGCCGACGTGCCCGAGCCACTGGGAAGTGTTGCTGGTGGCAAAGAAGGACACCCGAGGGGGTTTTAGTCACATGCCACCTTTCCTCAGAGCCTGGGGCCCTGGTGACAGCCACAGGCTGGCGTGGGCTCCCTCCTGGGGCCATGACGTGGTGGCTGGGATCTGTCCAGGCCACAGGAGCCCTGGGCGGAGGGAGCGCTTCTGTCCTCCTTCGCAGTCCGAGGAGAGGAGGTGCCTGTGGGCCTGGGCAGTGAGGCCAAGCCCACCCGAAGTGTGGGCTCCAGGAATGCCACCCTGACCCCCCAGAGGGCACAGGAGCTTGGCCAAAGAGGCCTTCAACCCTGCCCTGTGATCTCACTCCATTACCAGCTGGGCCACTGGGCCAGGCCTTACATCCTCCCACTGGTTGCCCTTGTCCTGGTGATTCAGGGGGAGACTGGTAACTGGCAAACCTGGTGGATGTCAGACGTGCCGAGTTCTTGCTCCCCGAATGGAAGAGTGAATCCCAAGGAACAACGGAAGCTGAGAGAAGGAAAATTTATTGGAGACTAGGAATGGGGAATCGGAATAGCTCCTGAGAGACAGGAGGGATCCTGAAGGGGTTAGCAATGAGCCCACTTCTTTTTTTTTTTTTTGGTATGGAGGATCAAACTCAGGACCTTGTGCTTTCAAGGCAGGCAGTGGAACCACTGAGCTAAATCCCCGGTGAGCCCAATTCTCAAAGGAAGTTTTATAGAGCAAAGTCACGAGGCGGGGTACGAGGTGGGTAAGAACTATGATCAACCAATAGATTACGGGTGTCGTGGCGCAGGCACTGCTGACCCAACAGTAACAGGGGTGTGTGGGTGACGCCATTCGCCTTGCTGATGACCTGTGACCTTAGTCTTAGTCTTCTCGGTCTCAGTGGTGGAGAGGCCGCCCCCCAGCGAGACACCGGTCTCTCTGTACGGGAAGCCCGAAGGGTGGCACCAGTGACCCCCAGCTTCCGCTCATCCCCAGGGAAGTGTGCGCACCTGGCCATGTGCCTTTCATCTTCAGTGCACCTCCAGCCACGGCTCCCCTGTGTCCTCGGCCCTGCGTTGACTTCCAGGCCCAGCCTGCCTGACGCCCGCAGTGTTTCTGCCTAACTCCCGGTCTATATCACTGGTTTCCTAGACGTAATCCAGGCCGACGGAGGCAGCGCCCTGCTCACCAAGGATACTGCTCGCTCACCGAAGTCACCCCCCTCCCCGCCCAGGCACACAAACGCCTGCCACCCAGAGTCCAGCGGACTCCTGATACTCATCACACAGCAGGAGCGAAAATAAGGAAATAAAGACTTGAAAAGGTTTTAGGGGACAGCACTGGGGACGGAACCCAGGACACTTGGACTGAGCTCCATGCCCAGCGCACTTTTGTTTTTCATTTTGAGACAGGGTCTCACTAGTGGCTAAATTGCTCAGGCTGGGCTCAAACTTGCAATCCTCCTGCCTCAGCCTCTCAGGTGTGAGCCACCACGCCCAGCTGGGAAAGGACTTAGTGAGAGAAGCCAGGCTAAAGAGGCTACGGACTTTATGAAGTCAGCACGTTGACCAGGAAAAGGCAGAGCCACGAGGACAGCGCAAAGACCCAATGCTGCAGGCAGGAGGGAGAGGCAACCCTCGTGGTTCCTTCTCAGGGCCCATGTCCTCCACATTTGTCAGGACTCCACAGGGACAGCAGGAAGGACTTTAATACTGGCCAGGGACACTAGGTTTGTCGCCTGTACAAGTTAGTAGCACAGATGTAAGCTGTTAATAGGGTGAGGCGGGTGTGGCAGCCCGCACTTGTGATCCCAGTCCTCTGGAGGCTGAGGCAGGAGGATGGTTGTGAGTTCTAGGCCAGGCCCTGTCTCAAAAAACAAATGAACAAAAAAGTACAATTTGGGAGGGTGTAGCAGGAGGGTGTAGAACTCTACATGTTCAGCTCAGTTTCTCTTGTAAATTTAAAACTTCTGAAAAGGCTTCTTACACTAAGAAATTCCTTTCCAGCCTTGCTCCTCCCTGCAGTGCTCCCCTATCTTCCATCCATTTATCGACCGGCCCTCTGGCTCTACCTGTGCCGTGCGTAAGCACATGTCTAGAGATAAGTGACTTTCGTCTCTGCTCCAATAAAAGCCATACTTGCACAGTGAAGAAATTAACAAAACAGGAGCTGGCCATGGTGGCACATGCCTGCGATCCCAGCGCTCAGGAGGCTGAGGCAGGAGGATTGTCGGGCGTTCCAAGGCCAGCCTGGGCTGCAGAGGAAGACCCCATCTGAAAAAGCAAAACCAACAGGAGCGGTTCCGTCTCAGTGTTCACCTTTCTCCGACACACTTTTTAGTTTTGTTTTTACATTTTTATTTTTTTGTCGTTTTATACTGTAAAGTACATCTTTAAAGTAGTTTATATTTTAAGGATATTTCCTTTGGGAAGAACTCATTTTAGTTAATATATTATGAAATATAGACTATATTTCTCCACCGACACTCAGCTTTGCGTTAATTTCTATGGAAAAGTCATATTTTTTTCCAGCACATGTATTTTTGCTTGCTTTCTTGTTTTTTTTGATTTTTTGAGACAGGGTCTCACTACGTATCCCGGGCTGGCCTTGAACTCAAGGCGATCCTTCTGCTTCAGCCTCGGGAGTGCCCGGACCCCAGGCCTGGGCCCCACCCTGGCTGTTTGAGGCGGGATCTCCCTGCATGCCCCAGGCGGGCCCTGCCTGGCCCTCAGGTCTTGAGCCTCCATCCGGGAGAGGAGAGGTGGGTGTGTGGGTGCCCTAGGCCCGGGAGACCTGGAGGAGCCACTGGTCCTCACAAGAGAAACTCTAACCTTTAAGGTTCCATTTTGCCACGACAGTCACAGCACAAGCTGTGCCACCCGGGCCCTGGATGCCGGAAGAGGGCGAGGGTGTTCAGAACTGAGGGAGGAGGCATGAAGGGGTTTATTTTGTTTTGAGACAGGGTCTCCCTATGGAGCCCAGGGTGACTTCCAGCCTGTGGTGGTCCTCCTGCCTCAGCCTCCCAAGTGCTGGGATGACAGGTGTGTGCCACCACCCCCTCCCGAGTTTTATACCCCGCAAGCCTTGGGACTGTTCCAGCAGCCCCAAGAGACCAAATGGAAAGTCATCCTTAAAGGGGACCGAGGGCGCACCCCTCAGGGCTTCCTTCGGGGAAAGGGGAAGTTGTGCCGCAGGTCTGGGTCGCTGCCGGTCGGAGCCTTCCGGGTGGGGACAGCCAAGCCTGGTCCTGGGCTCCGGCCGCGTGGGGACGGCAGGCGAGGTGGGACCTAAGCCGGGGGTTTGTGACAGGGGCCTGACCCCGGGTCGCAGAGCTGCTCCTCGCTCGCTCGGACCTGGCGCAGGCGCGCCCGGGTCCTTCTCCACCCGCCCTGGGGACAGGACCCGAGCTGGGTCTGAGCCGCAGCCTCCCCGCATTCGGTGCCTGCCAGGCGACCTAAGCCGGGGCGCAGCGGGGTCCCCGACGCCCCCCGCAACCCCGGCATCTCCGCAGCAACACGGGGTCCCGGCTGTGGTCCCCAGAGAGCGTCCTGCGGCGCGGCCTCCGTCACCGGGCTGGCCTCCCGGGTTTCCGACTCCGCGACCTCCAGCAGGCGGGGGAGCGGGAAGCGGGGCGGAGACAGCCTCAGCCGCGGTGCGGCCACGCCTGGAATCCCAGCCCTCGGGGAGGCTGAGGCAGGAGGGTCGAAAGTTGAGGCCGCCCAACCCAGGCAGTTTAGCCACGGAGCAGATCTTGTCTCAAAATAGAAAATTATAAAAGGGCGAGGGGTGTTGCTCAGGGCGAAAGCGCTGGTTCGGTACCCAGTACCCGGGAAGGCCGAGCGGGAAGTAGGAGAGGAAGGCCGGGCTCCAGCGTCGGACCCGGGGGCGGGGACGGAGGGGACGGGACGGGGCGGGGCCCACGTGGCGCAGCTGCGGACTCCGAGGCGGCGGCGGCAGAGGCGCGCGCTTCCTGCAGTGCCCGCGCCCCGACCGACATGCGGCGTCCGGACGCCAAGGTAGTGCTGCTGGGCGGCGCGAGCGTGGGCAAGACCTCGCTGCTGCGGCGCTACACGGAGCGGCGCTTCCCCGACTCGGTCAGCACCGTGGGCGGCGCCTTCTACCTGAAGCCCTGGCGCGCGCTGCACCTGTCCATCTGGGACACCGCAGGTGAGGGGTGCACCTGGGATCTGGGCCGGCCGCCTGCTGCCCGCTCCCTCCTCCCTGAGGGCCGGGCTCTGCGTCCGCAGGGGTTTCTCGTTTAACTTATTTCTTCATGTGTGGGCACTGCTTGCTGAACCTGGGCCTGCACTGAGCGCCATCCCGGTCCTGTTTTCCACTGTGTACTTGGAGGCAGGGTTGCCCTAAGTCTCTAAGTTGTCCCGGCTGGGATGGAACTTTCTATCCTCCTGCCTCAGCCTCTCAGAGTGCTGGGATTACAGGCGTGGGCCACGGCGCCCGAGTGCCTGTCCAGCTTCCAAGGAGCCCGGGAACTCCAGCTCCTCTGATGTTCTCACTGTCCCTGCGGGTGGGCAGCGCTAGAACTGGAGCCTGTTTCCGAAAGAGGAAACGGAGGCAGGAGCTGAACTTTGTGACAGCGCTGGAGGCTCCCGACCTCGGCTGCGCTTATTTTGTTTGTTCTGTGCTCGGTCTTGGCCAGCACCCACGTGTCATGTGGCCCGGAAGGCTTCCGGGGAGGGAGAGGATTTTCCAGGTAGGTAGTGAATTATTCTTACAGGCGGCGCCTGGCGCTGTGTCCTTGGGCAGGTTTAACTGAGGGCTGCAGCTCACACTGGTGCTGGCGGGGCTTCGAGGAACGGGCGAGAGACTCTCACGGCCCTGCGGTTCCTGCTGTGTCGCACCTGGGCCTCCTGGTGTCTGCTCAGCGAGTGTGATCCCAACCCGGTCTCTTGCGCCGGGTGCTCACTGCCCCTCCTCCCTCCTGCTGTTTCTGTCATCTTGGGGGTAGGTGTGGGGACCAACATATTTCCAGTCGTTTGGGGTTTTTTTGAGACAGGGTCTCCTCTGTAGCCCAGGCTAGCTTTGAGCTCATGACGATCCCCCTGCCTCAGCCTCCCGTAGTGCTGGAGTCACAGGCCTTCCATAACCCTTTAGTGCCCCTTGCTGCCTGGCCGCCCTCCCTGCTGCCCTTGGTTCCAGAGGGTAGGGTGGGACGGGCACTGGGGACCTGCACAGAGACAGTGTAGGGCCACCCGGGCCGGAGCTGACACTGGTGCTGGACCCAGGTTGGACCCCCACCCCTTGGTGCTGGGACGTCACAGCCCCGTTTTGTAACATTGTCTACTGTCTACGTGACGACTGGGGCATGGTGGTGACTCATTTCCCGGCCGGTTTGGTTGCAGCCTTCGAATTCCCGGAACCACAGTGTGGGCTTGGATGGGTCTGGGACAGAGGGGTGGTCTGGCTCCTCCCACTCTCTGGCTGTCCTTGAGGGCACCTCTGTGCCTGCCTCCCTGGGACTGTGGGATGACCGGGCACCTGGAGACAGTCTTGTCTTGCTCTATAGCCCAGGCTAGCCTTGAACTCAAGGCGATCTTCCTGCCTCAGCCTCCTGAGTGCTGGGATCAGGCGTTCACCTTCATGGGCTGCTAGAGTGAGACCTTTTTCCTCCTTTTGTCTGGTTCTTGAATGCTCTTTCCACCCCCCACATCGCTAAGGTGTCTTCTGTGGTCTCCGAAGCCTGGGGGGGGGGGCAGGTGGAGTAAGGATGGCCCCAGCCACTTTTGTGTTCCTGCAACCAGGAGGCCAGGTTGGCCAGGAAGAGCAGCAGCAGGGGCTAAGTTTGTGTTTCTGGAGCCCAACCCCGGGGAGGTGGGCGTGGCTGCCAAGGACTTGCTGGCCTGGCCTTATCTAACTCGGTGGCCAGGATCCCAGGCCTTCCAGGCCCCAGGCCAGGGTTGGACAGGGGGAAGAGCTGGGGAGAGGGCTCGGGGAGGGAGTCCAGCACCTGCTGCCCCTCTGCCGCCCCTGCTTGGCCCAGTCTTGTAGGGAGCAGACCGGGCTGTGCTCGGGAGGCCCAGCGGCAGTGATAGCTCAGACTCAGCAGCTCGCTTCCCAGCTCGCTTCCCGCTCCGCCTTGGTCTGGCTCTAGCTGCAGACAGGTCTGCACGGTTATCTCCAGAGAGCCCCCGGGGGCGGTAGCTGCCTGACCTTTAGTCTCTGGGCTCCTGGAAGAGGCCATCCTCTGGGAGCCGCCCTCCTGCTGGGGTCCCTCCCTGCAGCCTGGGCAGCCGAGACTCCCGCCTGCAGCTCCTCTGAATCTTCTCTCCACATCTCACTGTACACAGCAGGTAGGAGCCTGGCGCGGTGGCGGCCCACACCTGTGATCCCAGCACTCGGGAGGGTGAGGCAGCAGGATCTCCATGGATTTGAGGCCAGCCTGAGCCATTTACTGAGTTCAAGCTCAGCTTAGAATACATAGGGGGACCTTGACTCAAACAAACAAACAAACAAACTAACAGCCAGGGAAGCTGGGCCGTGGCTGGCACTTGGCCTTGGAATCTCATCTGCATGAAACTCATCACCGGCCTTTGCTGCCCATGAGGCTGCAGGCCGAGTCAGCTGGGCTTTGACCCGAGTCCCCTCTGCTCCAGCCCCAGGACCACGCTCCTTCTTGCTGCCCAAGGCTGTCCCCAGCAGCGGCTCCAGCCTCATGTTCCTGCTCCTCCATCCGTGCCAACACGGAGCTCGCTAAGGCGAGTGTCCCTGCTCTGTGGGCTAGCCCATTGCCCTCTCCCACACCCAGCCTCTGCCTGGTGCCCAGGTGGGCCACACGGCACAGCAGCGCTCCCACTGCCTCCCCTGCACTACATCTGTACCAGCTTGGTATGGGGCTGGCCTCAAACTCATGGCACTCCTCCTGCCTCAGCCTCCTGAGTGCTGGGATCACAGGCGAGCACCACCATGGCCACCATGGTCAAGGTTAAAGGGGGAACACAAGAGGGGAGCGTGTGTGGGAAGCATGTGTGGGAAGCGGGGGCCACCTGCCAGGCCCCAGCTGTGCCACGCTGGTCGTCCTGGGAGGTGGTGGCACCACTGCCCCGAGGCCCAGAACCTGTCTTACTGACGGCACGCAGCTGTCCCGAAGCTACTCGGTGACGTGAACCAGGAGCCCAGACCCCTGCTCTTTGATCCTTGAGCCCCGATTCTCCTGCTGTGCTGTGGGTCCAGCCGGGGGCTTCCTCAGTGCTTTGGCCTGGGGCTCGAGGGTCTGTGTTTGGAGTGGGGTGGAGGCTTTGAGACTCTGGGGCTGTGGGGGTCCCTCTAGGCCAGGGGAGCCAGTCCGGGCTGCATTGTACTAGACCCGGAGATTCGGAACCGCCGGCTCAGTCCTTTCTCTCCACTGAGCAGCCTTAGTTCCAAGGAGATAACAGTGGTTTCCCGGTTGTGAAACCGGTGGCGAAATCGTTGTGTCTGGAACGGAACAGAAGTGCTGGGTTAGCTGAGTGCCCGAACCCCAGCTCGGGGGACAGGCTCAGCAGCACAGCCCGGGACATCCATGGACGTGAGGGGGCCACAGGGACAGGGCCGTGAGGACAGACGTGTGTCCAGGAGGAGAGCCACGTCCTGGCCCTGACCTGGGAATGCTTGGGGCTGTAGGTGCAGGCTGTAGATGGGGCGGCAGTGTGGCTGAGTGCCGAGCGCAGGGACACGGAGTGGCCAACAGTGGGTTCTTTGGACCCACCTGTCCTCAGGTCAGGAAAGCCCTGGGGTGGGTGTGGAGCGGGCAGATGGCCCAGGACAGTGTGGGCCAGCAGGTGGACAGGTTACCAGGCCGGTCTCTTCCATCGATGGGGCTTGCTTGGGTGCTTTTAGTAAATGTCAACTTTTTGTTTTTAACTTGCAAAGGAATTACAGTTTTATTTTGTTTGTTTTGAGAAGGTCTAGCTATGTAGTTAAGGATCGTCTTGAACTTACTATGTAGCTCAGGCTGGCCTCAACCTCAAAGGATACTCCTGCCGCAGCCTCCTGAATGCTGGGATTACAGGAGGGTGCATGGTGATGCTTGGCCCGGCAGTGGTATTGTGGGACAGGACACTGCCTGGGAGATGCCGTCTAGCTCTGTCACCTGCCACAGGTGCACTCTTGCCTCCAGTTGTCAAGAAAGCTTTATTGGCACTGTGCATGGCCGGCTGCAGCTCAGAAACCCACACATCTGTACCCTGGAGCAGAGATTTGCTGGCCTCTGGTCAGGCCATGTCTGCAAGTCATAGGTATAGGAACTTCCAAATTCTAGCATCCAGTGGCGCTGAGGCCCGGGTACCAGTGCCGTCTGGTCTCCACTGCTGGGGGCGGGCCCTGCAGGAGGGGGCAGAGCCCGGGGCAGGGGCTGTGCATGCACCCTGTGGCCAGGGCGCCCTGGGATCCTGGCTGGGAGTGGTCGCCAGGCTTGGGAGTGCGGGTTTATGCATTACTTTGGGTCACAGAAGTGACATCATTCTAAAGTGAGAGTGAAACCGGGAAAGATTGCTCAATCTTTTTTTTTCATTGTTTTGTTTTTTATGAGTTCAGGGTGGCCTTAAACTCTCAGTGATCTTCCTGTCTTAGCCTCCCGAGTACTAGGATTAGGGGCACCAGCCACCACACCCAGGTAAGACTGCTCCATCTTTTTGTTATTGTTGTTGTTTTGAGATAAGGTCTAGCTATGTAGTTTAAGCCGGCCTTGAACTCTGTGTAGCCCAGGCTGGCCTCGCTGGTGATCCTCCTGCTTCAGCCTCCTGCGTGCTGGAATTACAGGTGTGTGCCACCACTCCTGGCTAAGACTGCTCCATCTTTATGTTCATGTAAGTGACATGATAAACAACACCGAGGCTTGTTCTGTTCAGTGCAAGGTGTGCTGGTGGACTGAAAGTACTGCCTGGCCCAGAAGTGGAAAGTTAGGCATAGCTCCAGCCTCCTTTGGGCTCCAAAGCTCACAAGGCTGCTGCGTGAAATCTGCTTTCCCCTGGCACTTCCTGTGGCCTGGACCACACCCACTTTCCCACCTGAGACTGCCTCAGCTTACTGTGGGCTGGTCCTGCAGGCCCAGGCCCGCACCCTCTCTTCCCAGACCCGGGGCTGAGCTCGGAGGTACCTGCTGTTCGAGCTGTGGGCATCAGGGGCAAAGCGCTCCACCGAGATGGGGATGACGAGGTGTGCCCGCGGGTGGC